GAAATGAGAACACACTATTTCAATGAATTAGTGTAGATTTATTTGTGGAGACTAAAGAATGTTTTATGGAGAAAAGCCCTCCTGAAACAGCCTAGCGATGCCCCTCTCCATGTAATGGATGACCCTGCTTTCTTAATTGTGCACTATTTTGGGAAAAAGGATCTGCTAGATAATAATAACAGAACTCTGCTGATTTTCGCTTCCCGTGCTCCCTCAGCTACTTCTGGCGTTCCCTCCTTCACTGCCACTTTCAGGCATGTCTGTAGATCTGATGGCCATAGGCCGATAACATGCTGTGACACCACTGTCTCTGTCTCCAACTCAGGTACACAAAAGGGGAACTTGACATTTCCTACATCACCTCAAGGATTATAGGTGAGTGAATGTGTGTGGTGGGGGGGTGGGACTTTAGAGTTTTATTCTACACTTCCCATTTTCTGGAGGCGGGGGTGGCTCACTGGACAAACAAAAGCCTTTCCGGTTTTTCACACGCAACAAAAAAAAAAACAAGAACGAAAACCAGCTGCCCTTTTGTGAGAGAAGGACGACAAAAGAAGAGGAATACAGTAGCAGTGTGACGCCCAGAACATACCATGGGGGCTCAGGCATCTGCCTGTTTGATCTCACTGTAGACAAAAAAACAGAGACAAACCGGCATTGGATCCAGGGAGAATGTGCACCTCCCAGTATTTAATCTGGCTTAATTCATCATTCCCTAATAAATAGACCAGCATTTCTTGAACTTATTTGTCCTGGGGACCAGTCATGTCAAGTTTTGGGGCTGCAGGGCCCTGCATAAACGACCACCCCACCCCCCCCATGGATGCGTATCCGCATAGATAGATAGATCGATAGATAGATAGATAGATAGATAGATAGACATTATTAATATAGATAGATAGTATTACTATTATTATTATTATTATTATTATTATTATTATTATTACACCACTACCACTACTGTTATTATTACTATTAATATTAGGGCTTATGCCTATGTAAGAACAATATTAAACATGACCTAACAGGAGTGCTTTGGGTAAATTTGAGATTATTGCCAAATAAATATACTATTGCCAAGTAAATATACAGATATATAGTAATTAGGCTGTTGTTGTTATTATTATTATCGTTATTATTATTATTATTATGTGTATTATTATTGTTTTCTTTTGAAGAAGTCGTCTGATTTATCTTTTAGATGTGCATGTTTTGTTTCCGAATGCCGGCGTAATTTCGATTCATTACTTAGCAAGGCTCGGCAGATGACACAGATTGGTTTCGGGGGGGAACTATCTCTAGAAATAAAACCAAATTTAATGTATGAAATGTCGTAATTTCGAGTAAATGGGCGACGCTTTTTTGCCTCTGGCTCATCCTGTAAGTCGGCATCATTTGATGGACGCTTCCGAAAGAAAGAATCCAGACTCGCTTGCTTTGAACACGCCATGATTTATTGACAGCTCTCGTAACGCGTGTGTGTCTGTGTGAAAAGTTTGGAGTGAGTGAGACAAAGGGCGGGAACGCTGAACACTCTAGGATGCTGAAACAAGGGGCGGGACCTGAAGTTGGGGGGGCGGGGAGGGGCACACAGTGACAGCAGCGCTGAGATCAGACCTGATCTGACTGAATTTTGATTGGTGCAGAAGTGAGGCTCCGTGGACCGGCTGGAACCCTCTCACGGACTGGCACCGGTCCGCAGCCCATAGTTTGAGAAACGCTGAAATAGACCATTGCATTTAAATTAATAACTGTGTCCCCACCAGCGTCAAACTTTCTCCTACGTCCTTGCAAATTGTGATGATCACCTGACTCAGAGTCTCTTTGCAGACATCCTGCTACCCACCAGGGTGAAATATTGATGCCCTTATTTGAATGGACACAGTATTTCAGCAGTTCTCAACCCAATCCTCAGCCCCTCCACCCAGACCACATTTTTGTTCCAGCCCTGCCAACCTCTCTTTACCTTTCAGATAATTGTAAAGCCTTCGATTGCCTGGCTCAGGCATATAAGTGGTGGAACGGACCAAAAATGTGGACTGGAGGAGGGGCCAGGGAATGAGGTGGAAGTACAGAGGCAGTTGTCTACACGTGATCTATCGCGGAGAGAGTCCATGTTAGCTTCCTTCATCTGGCCTCTCCAACTGTTCTGGAGCCTTCAATGCAAATCATCTGCAGACCAACCCCACCAGTTTTTAACAGCTAAGTCTCCTGCTCTGATCTGCAACGTGGGATATTTATGGCTCTCACAGAAGACAGCTGTGCCTAGGAAACATGTCCCCCACATGAGGAAAAGTTGATCTCCCGTGAATCAATGCATTTAATGTACAGCTGTGTGGATTTGAACTGATCTGTAGGTCAAGCACAGATACGGGTGGACTGACCAAGCAAAACTTAGGGATCTGGGACCGGATCTCATTGGATGAGAAATCATTGAATATTGATGGATTGCCCATGGTTTTTTTGTCTTTTGTTGGCCCGAGAGAACCTTGATTGTGGTGCTTAAGGCTTCTTCTTTCTCCCCGGGTAGTGATGTCATATCCTGTGGAGGCGGTGGACATTGGATACAAGAACCACATCGAGGACATGCGCTCCTTCCTGGACTCCCGGCATGTAGACCACTACACGGTGTTCAACCTCTCTCAGAGGAACTACCGTGGGACAAAGTTGTCCAACAGGGTGAGGAGAACAGGCCAGTCAGTGTGGATAAGTAGTTAAGCATGATGATAAGATGACTGTAAAAAATGTGATGACTCAGCGTTCCTCTAACGCCTTTGTGACCCCATTTCCTGTGCATTAAGTGGGCTGGCAGGACTTGCAGTCTCATCAAAAGCCTATATTGGTAACGTTTCTTCCGAGCAAAAAAACCCAACAAGGGTGACCTATGCAGCCTTAGGCAGGGTCTTATACTGGGGCGAGACCAATGGGAATTGGCTCCAGCTGAAAGCTGATTGGCTCCTGGAGAACCCCATCACCTGTCACGCACTGATTCCTGACATATCATTGGCTAATAATAATGTTGACCTCTCTGTATGCATTATGGCCCCTCTTATGCCCCCCATGCTCAATGCTCAATCCGCGTCATTGAAGGCAACCGGCTGCATAGCAGGGTAGAGTGCTGAATACTTTGAATAAATGTGCGATAGCTGTATTGTGTGAAATTACATATATACAAGAACAATAACAATAATTATAATTATGATATACTTTGAATCACTCTTTGGTGGTATATTTAGAGTTCCATGATCAGAGTTCCATGAGCTTTGCAGGTTCTGTACTGTAGGATTGTGTTGTGCCGACATCCTCTTGGGTTCTTCTGAAAAGCTGGATCCAAACCTCTCAGCTGAGAAACGCTCCCTTTGGCAGTCTGCCTCCTTCACTCCTGCTCTTACACTCCCACATTTGTGTTCTGCCAGATTCCTGGAAACGTCTCCACACCCTCATGCTTCTGATCACTTCAAATTGGTTGAGAAGCTGACTAGGAGAATAACGCCATAATGAACCAGTCCCTTTTTTACAATTGTGGGATCGGCGTGTGTATTTTCCCTTTAAACACATTCGGGGGAGAGTGCTGTGCTATGAAAATGTAGACCGAGGTCTGTATGGTGATGCTGTAATCGTGTAAAAAATATCTAGGGTGCTCCCACCTCTCCTTGAGGCAGAAAGTAAGTTTTTGTAATTAGATGAGTCACCAATCGCATTGAAGCGTCTTTTATTTTTGTTGACGTTAGTCATGCACACTAGGGTCATGTGACAGAGTCATGTGACTACTCTCTCTCTCTCCACCCCAGGTGTCAGAGTGCAGTTGGCCCTCCCGACAGGCCCCCAGCCTCCACAATCTCTTTGCTGTCTGCAAGAATATGCACAACTGGCTGAGGCAGAGTCCCCGCAATGTCTGCGTGATCACCTGCACGGTACGAGTAAACACTGGGGCCTTTCTTTGCACCCCTGCCCTCCTCCTGCAGCCCTCTGCTCTCAGGCCAGACCAAACCATCTTGGTTTGAAGTCTCTGCTCCAGACACTGGTGTTTGGGATAATCCGCTGCTTCATCAGTGAAGGTGTCTGAACACGTACAGCACTAATCCTGACAGCTGGACCGTTTTATTCAGTTTTCTTATATTCTGCCATTAGACGTGCAATAGATATTAGCAATGAAAACAGTTTTATTATTCCCTTCTAATTAGGGATAAACGGCATCAAGATTCCAAACCAGTGGCCCTTAAAAATAGGTCATCCTTAGTCCAACATTGTGGCTTTTTCAGTTTTGTTTGCAGGCTTCGATGTGCGTTTGAGCCGCTTGTGAAGGTCAGATAACTAACAAACAGATGATCCTGTATCACAGGGTAGCCTGTTACATTTTCACTGCCCGTCGATGGTCTCGTTAATTACCTGGTCTTGCCTCTTTGGTTTATGGCTCTAAATTAATAGTGGAAAATCCCCTTATCTGGGCTGCTGGGCCCTGAGCAGATTACTCATTAATGTTATTATTGTTTCTCTGATGCCCGGGCACATGCTCATTGGCGCCCCCCCGCAGGATGTCACGCGGGCCTCTTCCGGCATCCTGGTCTGCGCCATGTTCTGCTTCTGCCACCTGTTCAGCAGCCCAGGGCCCGCCATGCAGCTACTGAACGCCAAGAAGCCCGGGACGGGTCTATGGCCCTCACACAGGAGGTACTGGGGTCTAACCTCAAACTCGGTTCCAACCCTGCCAGATCCCCTCAGCACCAGCCAAGCAGTGGCCACGTTATTAGTTACTTCCGATGGGAAAGTGTGTATCTCTTTTAAATTCAGGACCCCCCCCCATCAGGGAATTTGATATCGACTTATCCCGGATTCTGAAAGTTCCCGCGTATTGATCGCCCCCTGCATGAGTGATTTAATGCGCCTGGTGCGGTTAAAAATGGGGAAAGCCGTAAATTCCCTCTATATCGATTTGTCATGTCACTGTGCCGGGATAAATGGTCCCCCCAGCAGACGGGGACACCGAATTGGATTAAGAAGCATTAGGTTACAAAGTGCTTTTATTTAAATTAGCTTTACATTATCATTGTTACTATTTATCGACGTTTGAAATTCTCTGCCCACCCGTTACCGCAACGTACTTATGGGTTTCTGGCGGATTTCCAGCTGTAAAGGGCAGATGAACGCATCAGCTGGGTGCTGAACTACCGACTTTGGGCTATAGGCCGGTTACAGGCTCATTACGGCTCAGCGAGTCGTTCCCTTCACACTCAGGTACCTGGGCTACATGTGCAGCATGGTGTCGGAGAAGCCGTCGCTGCCTCACACCAAGCCCGTGCTCATCAAGGCGGTGACGGTAAGCCCGGTGCCGTGCTTCAACAAGCAGCGCAGTGGCTGCCGGCCTTTCTGCGACATCCTCATCGGCGAGACCAAGATCTTCTCCACCGCGCAGGACTACGAGAGGATGAGGTATGGAGCCTACCAGCGTCTGCCAGGTCTGCTTTTAGTAGAATTAAGATGGACTTTATTGTTCCCGGGGGAGACTTGTGCATGCAGCAGCAAGAACGTAGTGCACAGACGAAATACGTCTGGTGCAAAACTGACAAAGTGCAAACAAATTAAAAAGGACACAAATCGAATATCCTGAACACAGATTATGGATATTAAAAAAACTAATTTCTAAAGAATTAATTAATAAAGAAATGAATTATAATAATAAAAAGCAATAAGTCAATCAATCAATCATTATATTTCACTTAGTCGATTTTTTCAAACATCATCATTAAGCCACAAACACAAACTGTTTCATTACATACAATCCATAAGTGAAAAGGGGATATTCTTGTATGTCCTGCACCTTTCTCAGTGATTATAGAGTAAGTTACATATGGCCATATACATAAACTAACATACAAAATAAATTGCAAACAATATCAATCAATCATTATTAACTCATAAGTTCATCAGATCTTATATTTTTTTTCTTTGCAAAGTTTCTTAAATTGATTAATAGCTGAACATTTTTTCAAATCATCATCCAGATTATTCCAGAGTTTTGCTCCATATACTGAAATACACATCTGCTTTAATGTACAATTATACTTTTAAAATCAAACTTCCTTCTATTATTTCTATCACTTGATCTCAAAACAAAGAACTTCTGTAAATTATTTGGCAATAATATCTTTTTAGCTTTATACATAACTAATAGGGTTTTTTAATTAACCAAATCCTTTAGTTTTAAGATATTTGACTGAATAAACAAGCTATTAGTATGTTCTCTAACATTCATTTTATATAAAATTCTCATAGCTTTTTTTTTAAACAAACAAAGATTTAGTATTTGTTTTATATGTATGGCCCCAAACCTCTATACAATAAGTCAAATATGGAACAATAAATGAATAATATAATGCATGGAGTGTCGATATTTCTAGAACACTTTTTACCTTATTTAAAAGTCCAGTGCTTAAGGGTTAATGAAAAAAAAACCTACACATTATACATTTTTAAACGTGTGTAGTTGTGGAAAATGAATCAACAGCTTCCTGACCAATCAGATTTGAGAATTCAACAGTGCCATGGTATAATAATAATAATAATAATATAGTTGAGTGTGTGTGTGCATTTATACAATGTATATGATTGTTAGTTTGGCCTTACATGGTACGTGGAGATGGGGGACAGGGACAGACTGCTAAAGCCTTGCTTCACTCTCCTCAGCATAAACATTTGTCACCAGTGCCGTACAGTTGATGATGATTGCTAATTGATGTTTTTCTTTTTATCGTAAACATGATAAATTGCTAGCTGCACTAACCACTCGCCCCGGTCGTGGCGATATCGCCCCCTAGAGAGCACCGGGTGCAGGACGGCAAGGTGGTGTTTCCTCTGGGGGTGAGCGCTTACGGCGACGTGGTGATTGCCGTCTACCACATGCGCTCCACCATTGGGGGGAGACTGCAGGCAAAGGTACGAGGAACCGGGCCCCGGTGCTGGCCGTTAGTCCCGGGAGGGGTTCTGCTGTTGTACCTTAGTTTGGGGCTGCTTCAGTGAATGGCTGTCAGTACCGTAAGCATCTGCTCTGGGAAATAATTAACGGAAGTAGTTTGCACAGAGCTGCTGTCCTTTTATAATGAAATGAATGTGAATCAGTTACTGGTCAGCAGCTGCGCATCACTGTGTAAAAGGCGAGTTGGGTGGTGATTCCCGCAGGTGAGCAACACGCAGATCTTCCAGATACAGTTTCATACCGGCTTCATCGCAGCAGGCACCAGCACCTTGAAATTCATGAAGTAAGTTACTGTCACTCCGTCGCGGTCAAAGGCGTGTAAGTCGTCAGAGGATTAACATGTGCCTGTCTGTGTGCGTGTGTGTGTGTGTATATGTGTGTGTGTGTGTATGTGTGTGAATGTGTGTGTGTGTCTGGGGTTATGTATGTGTGTGTGTGTGT